GCAGGTGGTGGCCGCAGGCTACAGCGCTGATGATGAGGCCGCTGGCCAGGAGGGCAGCCAGGGAGATGCCCAGCAAGAGGCAGAAGTGCAGGAGTTGCAGCTGCCGCATGTCTGCCAATGGCAGCAGGAGGAATTGGCTGATGGAGCTGCTGTTGGACATTTGCTGTCTGTGGCCATGGCGACCTGTCCATGGATAAAGGACAGTCAGGACAGGCTGCTTTGAGCCAAACCTGTGCCTTTCCCTGCAGACTGTCCCACTGGGACTCACCCACTCTTGTTCCTTCTCAGGGAAAGCCTTCACCCAGGTCCCTGCTTGAGCTCCAGCTGTGCTGTCTGAGTGTGCCATGAGCAGCCAGGCCTGGGTGTGGGGGCTCTGGAGGAGCCATCCCTGCCCCACTGCCCTGGGTTTGTGGCCATGCGGCAGAGGGACAAGGTTGGGCATTCAGGATTTCTCAGTGGAATTACTCCTAATGAAGAAGGCTTTTTAGCATCTGCACTCCCACTTCTAAAGGATATGGCAGAAAGGAGTTTTAGCAAGTTTTTTTCCCCCACACATCATTCCTGGTTCCATGAGGTCAGAAATCCCCAGCATTTCTGCTGCACTCAGAGTTTGCCCCTGAGAGATGTGAGAGGCAAAGGGATTCCCTGTGGCTCAGGGCAAGGTGAGGGCTGGATGGGCTTGTTCCCAACTGCCCTGGGTTTGCCCCTTTGGCTGGAATCAGAGCACTATCACACTCCCGGTTCACCCTAAGATAAACGTGACCCTGCTGAGAGCAGAGGGACCCCTGAATGTCTCACCCTCTCTAAAGGGCTCTGAGCAAGGTCTCAGCACCCCCTTCTGCCCAGGACACTCACAGGACCCTTGGCAAATCCAACAGCATTTCCTCAGCTCTGGCATCTCTGCCCTTCCCCTGGGACACTCAGGGAACTGCGAGAGGCTCTGGCACAGATTTGCACCCAGGAGGGCAGCTCAGAGCTTGGCAGGACACAGCAAGGAGATTGCTGGGGGTGCCCATGATGGGATCTCAGGGAGGGAGGCTCAGCTCCTTCCCCTTTCCCAGGGACTGCTCTGCCCACAGCCCCACAGGTCACAGGGAAGCTTGGATACCCCATTGCCATGGACACCGCAGTTGAATGGACATCCTGCCTGGCAGGAATCCCAAGGGCAGGGCCTGACTCAACTGCTCCAGATCTCAGAGCCTCCCTGGCAGCACCAGATAACAGTGCCAATATCAGGGGAGAGCAGAAACAACAGAAGATATCGTGGTGCTGTGCCTGTGAGGGCAGGGCACGGACAGACAGACACTCAGGACAGTGTTCCTGTCCCCAGCTGTGCCCGGCACCACCCACACACCCACAGTGCCCTCCTGCCCACAGCATTGCTCTGTTAGCTCCCTCTCCTGCCCTCAGCATTGCTCTGTTCAGCTCCCTCTCCTGCCCTCATCAGCTCCCTGTACCTGCACATTTTCCTCCTGAGTGGTGCCTTGTCCCTGCCAGCGCTCACAGAGCCCATCCCACCCTCYGTGCCCTCACCCCGGCCCTACAGAAACCTGCCTGTGCGCAGGGCCCTGCTTGGGGCAGGTTCTGTGTGCAGCTGGGCAAGGGCAGCTCAGGAGACCCCTGCTGGGCCCTGGAAAGGGGCTGCTGCTGCTGCTGCTGCTGCTGCTGCTGTCCATGGGCTGGGGAGGGGCTGAGGGCACTTTGGGAGGCCCCCAGCAGAGAGACTGACCATCCAAAGGTACAGATCAGGAGTTTCAGTAAATGTTCAAACATTACTTGGATGATCCTGGTGTGTCCCTTTCAACTCAGAATGTTCTGGGATTACAACTCCTGTTCTGCTTCTCTCAACCTCCAACCTTGCCACCCTGCTCCAAATAAGAAATTGAAACAGCCCAGGAAAACTCCTGATCTTCACAGCAATCCCTGGTTTACATTCTTTTGGGAAGTGTCCTCCAGAGCTGTCCCCAGGCTGGTCTGGAGCTGGGAGCAGCCCTGCCCCACCCAGCCCCTCTCAGCAGCAGCACCTGCCCTGCTCAGGGTGGCTCCTTCCCCCCACAGCTTCTCCCCCAGGGCTGGCAGCAGCTCCCCGGGCCGGCTGAGAGCTGCCCCTGGCAGGCAGCAGAGTCCCTGGCCAGCACAGCGCCCTCGGCTGCAGGACCCTGCTCTGCAGGACAGCCCTGGCTGCTCAGCCCTGCAGCAGAGCCTGGCAACAGGGAGCTGCCTTGTGCAGTGCCTGGATGGGGCAGCAGGGAAACCCAGCTCTGCCCTAGGGCCACATCCCCACACTGCAGCAACTCTGAGAGTCCTCCTGAAAGATCCTAAAAGCTGTGGGATGGGCCAGCTTCAAGAGATCCCTGCAGGAACTGCAGCTTCTCTTCCCCACAGCCAGAGAATGACTGAAACCCTGGGATGGTTTCTCCTGTAGTGAGCCYTCAGTGAGCTCTACTCCTCTGTGCTCCCAGCCCAGGCTGAGTTGAACCCCTCGGTGCCTCTGTGCTGTGCCCGGGGTGGCTGCAGGCAGTGCCCCAGCCCTGCTGGGCCGTGCACAGGAGCTGCTCCTGGGCAGAGCTGTCTCTGCAGTGCTGCCCCTGCCAGGAGCTGCYTCTGTGCCAGGAGCCCGGCCCAGCTCAGCAGCAGCAGCAGCACCAGGACTGGAATGACCCTCTGGGCCTTTGGGGCTCAGCCCATGCACATCAGTCCCTGAGAGGGAGCTGAAAAAATATCTCAAGAATTCAAAGTCACAATCAATCTGCAATGTTTCTTGAAGTTTTAATGGGTCCCACTGAGGGACACGAGTGAGAAAGCATCCCCAGGTTCCAGTTAGAGCAGAAAACTGGATACAGAGATGACAAAGAGAAGCCAAGTCTTGGTGCCCTGGAGCACAGCAGGGTCTGTGCCACCAAGGGCTATGAGGGGACACCTTGTCCTGAGGTCCTGGGGCCTCCTGGCACAGCCCCAGCAAGGCTGGCCACTGTCACCCCCTTATCCTGCCCTCAACATTCCTCCCGCCACATCCCAGTGGCCTTAGGGATCTGCTGGAAGGAGTCCCTGGGGAGCCTTGGTCAGGAATGGCCCTGGGAGGGTCCTTCAGCTCCCCGGGTCTGCAGGGTTTTCAAAGGACTTTGGGTTTTGCTTTTGCCTTGGAGTCTCTGAGAGCTTTGTGCAATCATGGCCTCCAATTATCTGCTCTAACGAGTCCCTTGAGATTCTCTGTCAGTAACAACACTCAGTGGGACTCATTAGTACTATGAGTTATTTCAGTTTTTTTAAGGTTCTTTCCTTTCTCGTGAGGTTCAAGGTCTCAGCTCCAAATGCACCACAGAGCTCATCAGGATCAAGCAAGTCCTGACACACCATGGCTCTGCATTGATTTCCCTCTGGTCTTGTGCAGTTCATTAGGAAGGTTTCCTGCTACAGTTATGGAGAAAGATTTCCAAGAGCTTTTAATAAATATCCATTCCTATTTTAAAGGGTGGCACCCAAGGGGCAGGAGGAGTTTGAGGGCTCCCGAGGGGTCCCCATCCCTCTGACCCCAGTGGTCACTCCAAAGCTGTGCTCTGGCCGGGATTCCAAGCGGTGCTGGACCCACCGGGACGAGGACAGGCACTTGTGGCTGTCAGGGGTGGCACGGAGGTTCTGCAGCCTGCGTGAGCTGCTGGGCACCTCTGGGCATGGGGGGCTGAGGGCAGAGGGGGCCCAAAGGTGCCTGGAGGTCACCTGACCACCCTGCCCGAAAGGTGACACTGGGGGATGTCCCAGAGAGGGGCTGTGAGGTAACAGAGCTGCTATGACATCAGGAAGGGGCTGTGTGACATCACAGTGTGGGCTGTGACATTGCAGAACAGCTGCATTTTGCTGATCAATGCACAGACTCCACATATGTATGCAAAGACATTTATTGCAAAAATCCAGGGGTTTTAAACCGTTAGTTTGTTGTGGGTTTACATTCTTGTGAAGCACAACGAAGTGTCTGAGCCAACCACCATAAATCACACCAGGAACACGCGATGGTCAGAACCAACCACCGCACACCACAGTGTGAGCTCTCACTCGCTCTATCATTTGTTTTCCAGGGTTATGGAACTTGTTTTTCCCCTCCAGTTTAGCTGAATCATTCCCAGAATCCTTCTCTTTGATTGCCAAAGTAACAGGAGAGAGCAGGAGATTTACAAGATTTACAAGACAAGGCCCTTGTTTTATAAGGTTTTACTTATCCGCAACACTGCAAGACATTATAGAGTGGGCTGTGTCATTACAGGGTGCCTGTAGGACATCACAGAGCAGACTGTGACATCACAGGATGGCTGAATGACGTCACAGAGTGTCGTTGCTGGCCAAACAGCGACATAAAATAATAGGTACAAAACACACAAAAAGCAGGTGAAAGAAGAACTTTATTGCTGGACAAGCTGTAAGAGACCGTACTGAAGATCCGTGACTGTCTCACGATTATTGACTGAACACCCCAAAAACCCGAGGGGAAGAAAAAGGGGGGCGACTTTTGCTCAAAGGAGTCTGAGCCGGGTCAAGGTGGGAGGACTACCAAGTTTCCAGCTCCTAGGCTGCTGAGAACAATGGATGTAAGCTACGGATGATCGCACCGTTCCTGAGGAGAACGGTACAGTCCGCAGCCCATGCTGCACACCTTAACAATAGACATTCTTTCCCCACCGCCTGGCCTGCAGCCACTCGCTTTGAAAAAGACTATAAAAAGTCTCCCCCTAGAAGACTACTTCGGASATCTCTCCCAACGGACCCTGACGACACCCCTGGAACTTTGGAAGACTCGTCATACCGTTGGTAGCTATATAACCCGCTCTCTCTCTCTCTTTCTCTCTCTTTCTCTCTCTCTCTCACCCTCTTCTATCGCAAAATACCCAAATAAATTGTTCCTGATTATTTGAAGCATTTAAATTTGCCCTTCGTTTTCTTTTGCACTCTGAGATTCCAAAAACGAACCTATCACGACCCCTGCTTAAGTCAAGTGGATCGTGACACAAGCTTCTTTTATCCACTTTAGCAACCAGAGTATACATTTGTGTCAAACATACATTGGTTAAGAGACAGCTGTTTAATTAGTAATCAGAACATAATTGGTGAGTTTGCAAAAGCCACAGTATTAGTAATGTGCATAATTTCCAGCCACCTACGTTACCAGTT